TCCCACACAGCTGAAAAAGGAACTGGTCAATGCTTTCATTGGAAAGACTGATCAGTAAGGAAATCAATGTACACTGTTGGGCAGGAGAACTGTGTTTTTGTTTAACTGTAATTTAATTCAAGTAGAGGCATTTTCCAAGTTCTGGGGCCATGAGCAAGTCACTTAACAAATTCTTGGGTTCAGGAGTGCCATCTGTCAAACCAGGCTAATATTAACCAAACACAAAGAATGGTAGAGGAGGCAATACCTCTGGGGCTCTACACATTAAAAAAAAAAATCTTGCACTCCTTAAAAAGAAGATAATAGACAACTGTAATAGTGAGGAGCTTTAAAATTCTCTTACAATCCAACCTACAAGTTGCAGTCAGCTTAAATGTCTGGAAGCAAAGTTTGTTGCAAAGTGTTGGCAAGCAGACCCCTTTTCTAAGCAGACCCTGTTTTCCCATCTCCAGTGGAGTCTAGTTGGAGCATCTAAGCTATGGAGGCAAAGGGCTTCAAAATTGGCCCCTCCTCACTTGTATTTCCAGTACTGTTTCTTGATATTCCCTATCTACTTTACTCTATGTATCAAAAGTTAGCGAAATATGGCCCTTGAGCAAAATTTGGACTTAGAACTATTTTTGTAAGTAAGGTTTTATTAAACACAGTCAAAATCATTGGTTTATAAGTCTATGGCCATTTGGGGTTACAATGGAGAGTTGAGTCATTGTGAAAGAGACCATCCACAGACTCTTAGTCTACAAAGTCTAAAATATTTACTCTCTAACTCTTCACAGAAAAAGTTTGTTGACCCTAGCTATAGACAAGTATTTTCTATGCATTTTTGAACATGATGCACAATTAAACACATTTTACAATGAAATCTGTGTTTCTCAAAATAACTTTTACCTTTATTAAACATAATGCATTCTGATAGGTCCAAGACTAGTAATTTTTTAAAAGCTGTTCATGACTTTAAACTAATCTCATGACCCCAAATGAATCTTGTCCATATTGCAAAAACATTGTGCTAGAACTACTGAACAGTTGCTTATTTAAAACTTGTTTCCTGCTTTCCCACTTCTAGTCCTTTCTTGATGTTGCTCCCTCCATCTGATAAGACCCTGACATTTCATGTCAGTGTGTACAAATCCTTCCCATTCTTTAAGAACTAGCCTAACATCCACCTCTTTGATGAAATCTGCTTTGAACCTCTAGTCTAAATGCATTTTCTCCTCTCCCATAGCATTCTTCTGTTCTTTCATTGTGGAATTTGAAGAATTCTGCCTTGTAAAATAATCATCTTTGTAACATTCTAATTACATACTAGGAAGAACTCAAGGGTTTTAAGTCTTAAGAATTTGGTTTCTAAAAAACCATCCAATACAGTGTCTTGCACTCTGTAAGTACTAAATAAATGTTTATTAAATGGAGGTAAACAAATATTTATTACTAGAGTTATAAGGAAATGAAATGATAGACCATGTTTATGGACTGGAAGAATTAACATAGTTAAAATGTTGATCATACCCAAAGCAATGTATCATTTCAATGAGAACTTTATCAGAGTTTCAATGGAATTATTTAAAAAATATAGCAAACATAATTGAAATTGATATGGAACCACAAAAGAACCTGAATAGTCAAATCAATCTTGACGTAAAAAGGTTAGAAATGGAAGTATGCTCCTAGACTTCAAACTATACTACAAGGCTATAGTAAAAAAACCAGTATGATATTGGAATAAAAATAGACAAAGACCAATGGAATGGAACTGAAAGCCCAGAAGCAAACCCACATTCATATGGAAAGATGTTCTATGACATAGGAGCTAAGAGTATAAAAATGGATAAAGGAAAGTCTCTTCAACAAATGGGAAAACTGGACTGCTGCATGCAGAAATATTAAACTAAATGACTCTTACCATACACAAAAATTGATTAAAAATGGATTAAATATTTGGATGTAAGACTAGAAACCATAAAATACCTAGAAGTAAACATATAAAACACTACACAGCATTGGTATTAGGGATGTCTTTGGGAACTTGGCTTCAACAGCAAGGAAAACAAAAGCAAAAATTAAATGAATGGGGCTGCATCAAGCTAAAAAACTTCTAAATATTGAAAGAAACAATCATTAAAACAAAAAGACACCCTACTGAATGGGAGAAAACGTCTTGCATATCATATATCTGACAAGAGGTTAATATCCAAGATTTATAATTCAACAAAAAGAAAACAAACAATCCAATAAATAATTGGGCAGAAGAGCTAAACATATACTTCTCCAGAGAAGACATACAGGTGGCAAACAGGCACAGGAAAAAGTGTTAAACATCACTTATCATCAGGAAAATGCAAATAAAAATCACAATGAGAAACAACCTTATACCAGTAAGAATAGCCCATATGAAACAAATCAGAATAAATAACATTTCAAGTGTTCCTTAGGTAAAAGAGAACAGAAATGTGGGCAAAGATGTGGAGAAAATGGAGCCCCTTATATTGTTGGTGGGAATGAAGACTTGTCCAACTCTTATGGAAAACAGTATGGAAGTTCTGCAAAACATTAAAACTAAATATACCGTATTAACCTGAAATTCCATTCCTTGGTATCTATCTAAAGAATATGAAATCACTAATTCAAAGGGATATATGTTCATTGCAGCACTGCTTACAATAGTGAAACTATGGAAACAGCCTAAGTACCCGAAAATAGATGAGTGGATCAGGGAGATATGGTATACATACTCGCTGGAATACTACTCAGCTATATAAAATACATAAGCTCTCCCCATTTGTGACAACACATATGAAACTGGAAGGGATTATGTTAAGTGAACTAAGTCAGAAGGAGAAAGAGAATGCTAATGATTTCACTCATGAGAAACAGAGGGGAAAAAAGGAACAGACAAAAAACTAAACCCAAACAAATCCCAGAAATATGACTCTAGAATAAGGCCTCTAGATGGGGAGGAAAGGGGAATGCACTGAAGAGAGGGAGGGAGCCCAGAGATTTGGGGCAATGGATTGTGGGCACTTTGGTGGTGGGAGGTATGCTAATTTACACCTGTGGAAGTATGAACTTATCCCCCTAAAGCAAGCATGGTGGTGTAAATGTTTGCTCAATAAAAGAAAGTAAATAAATTTTAAAATGATTCTAACTGGGGAAAAATATGCAGAATCAGAAGTCACCTGAAAATAAGTGACTCAAAAAATTATTTCAAAATTAAAACTTAAAAACAATGAAATATAGGTTCAAATGAAGCAGAATCTGTGGCAAAGCAGTGATAATTTACTCATAGTCTCTCATTTTTAAATATAGCAACTGCTCTTTTTAAAACTGAACAACTACAACAAATTGGTAGGTAATTTTGTAAAAATCTTTATTATATGTCTAAAATTAACTTTTTTCAAAACAAATAGCACTTGTATCCAAAACATATTATTTAAAATTAATCTTACTGGGAAACAAAAAGATAAATAAAACAAAGTAACTATGCTTAATGTGTTAAATTATGTAATGGAAAAGAGAAATAACATATAAAAACAGATGGATAATTTTATCAGCAAAATGAAAATTATAAAAGAGTCAACAAGAAATGCTAGAAATAAAAATAACAATATCAGAGATGAAGAATTCCTTCTCTAGGCTCATTAGCAGATAAGGAAATTATCAGTGACCTAAAGTTAAGTAATAGAAATTATCTATACTGGAACACATAAAGGAAAGAGTGATTAAAACCAAACAGTACATGTAAGAGCTCTGAGACAATATGTAGTCACAAATTGTGCAGACATTTGTAAATGGAGTCTCAGAAGAAAAGAGAATGGAGAAGGAGAAATATTTGAAAATGTGGTAACTGAGAATTTCCCAAAATTAATGAAAGGCAAAAAATAAGAGATCTAAGAATCTCAGAGAACTCCAAGCAACGTTAAAATATATATACAGACCTAATGAAAATATCAAAGGAAAAATGTAAAAATAAAATATTGAAGGCAGCCAGGGATGGGGGTGGGTGGGTGGAGTTTATATACAGAGGAACAGAGATAATTATAACCTACTTCATGGAAACTATGCAAGTCAGAAGACAATGAAGTGCTATTTAAAAATAACTGAATAAACAGTATTTTTTAACATTCCAGGTTTGATAGTGCTATTTGGGTTTTTTTTTCCTTAGTTACCTTGGTACTGAAAGATTCACACTTGGGATTGATTCATAATAATCGGAGGGAGGGGTCCCCTTGCAGATGAGGTTAAAGATAAAACAAGATTGACCATCAGTTGATAATGATTGAAACTAGGTAATGAGCACACGGGGATACAATATGATCATTTCCTATACTGATAAAATTCTTTGATAAAAATCTTTAAAAAGATTTTTTTAAAGAAATGGAATTTTAACCAGGAAAAAAATGGGCAGACGAGGTAAATGTGTTATAGCACACATTCCACTAGGTTCTAGATTTTTTTTTTTTTTTGCCTCTAATTAATGTCCCCTCCATCTTTGATTTTCAATGGGTTCATAGTTCTCTAAACTGGGCTTACAGACTGCTGTAGTGCACCTCTCCAGTAACAGCATCCCAATGAGGACCTCCCTGGTGGTGCAGGCGGGTGAGCACAGTGCTGTGAAGCTGTCCGCAACCTCTGCAGTGTGGTTTCCATCCCATCCGGCCAGGGAGCTCACTACATAGCGATGCAGACCTCTTCTATCTTGCCCACTGCTCCCCTCAGCAGTGTATTTCAGTCAGTCTGTCTGTTTTGTTCCCTGCTCTGTCTCTGGTGAATCTGCTCACCCTCCCGTATATCTGGTCCATACCCTGGTTCTTGTATAAATAAAATAAAAATCTTTTAAAAAAAAAAAAAAACTACGAACCAGAGACACTTTTTGGGGGGTGGGGGTGGGAGGGGAGGGATTGGGGTCAGAATGGGGGGTTTGCAATTTTATGGGGGAATATAAAAATAAAATTTATTATTAAAAAAAAAAAAAAAAAAAACATCAACCCAATGAAACCTACCAGTGCCAAAACTTTCTTCTCCACACAAAGAGCACCGTCCAGAGTCCATCAGATTTGAGAAGAATCTCCATCCAGCTGGAGTCTCATATACAGGGACCTTCATTAATTTGGCCACTCTGAAAAATGAAATTTGAGGCAACAATCAATTCATATATTTCCTCTCCTTTGTTTTCACAGCACTGGAGCAAGTCTTTAGGAGCTATTATTTCTATAACTAGATTTCAAAAATTCCTGAACAAACTGAAAATTTTCAATATGTCAAGTTATAAAGTAGAAAATGATACATAGCCTATTCTAATGGTTCTCAATTTTACCCTTCCCACAACATAGAACATATTACTATCTTGTATAAAATATTCACATATTTATATTTTCCTGTATAAATATTTCTTTATCCTTCTGGTGAAATCCTACTCAGGGAACCTCAGAATCTAAATTAAATTGGTATTTGGGTACGCAAATTTGGAATATTGTTTGACAGTTTCTACTAAAGATAAAAGTATACACATCCTATGAACCAGCACTTCAACTCCTAGAAATTACTAATGACATGTAGTAGACACTGAGGTAAATGGCTGAGCTTCACACACACACTTTAGGATTTTAAAATTGGAACACTCATTTTATCAGATGCTAGGAATGTTGATATTTGTTAGCTCACAAATATGGCTCCCGCTCTCTGCCAAAGAGACATATCTCACACAAAATCATGCTCCCTTCCTGTGTTAATTCACATCTAAGAACTGAGGTATGAGACATGTATAAAAGTCAAATCTTGTTCCTATTTGGCTCAGTTCTGTAGGAACATTTCAGCTCCTGAGTGTACACAGACTGTCTAAGGATTTTGTTAGGACTGCATTGCAATCCAACTTGTCTCTCTCTCTGTCCAATTCTCCTCCCTCACTCCCCACCACCCCCATAGGTGTTGATCTTAAAGCCAACTTCGATCCTAACAACAGAAAAGAGTAAACTTCTTGCAAGCATATCTCTGACTTGCTTCCTGGAGAACTCAACAAGTTGACACTACTCTATAGAGGATGTACAAAAGATTTTACAAAAATGATCGGAGAATCATAATTGAGAACAAAGAAAACTACTCAAATATCCATCAAATTAAAACAGACAAGTAATTTGTGATATATATATTGTAATACCATAAATTCCACCAGACTATTACTTCATGCAACAAATTGAATGAATCTCACAAACCACTATTAAGGAAATGAAGCCATCAGCAAAGAAATACACACTGTACTCTTCCACCTACATAAAATTCTAAAACAGGATCTCCCCGGTGGCACAGCGGTTGAGCGCTGGGTTGCCAAGCTGCCTGCAGCTTCTGGAGCGCCAGTTCGATCCCTGGCCACCAGGCAAGAGTCCCACATGGCGCGCAGATCTCTCTTGCCACCCGCTGCTCCCCTCAGCAGTGTATTTTGTCGGTCTGCCTGTACTGCTCCCTGCTCTGGCTCTGGTGAATCCTCTCACCCTCCCACACTTCTGACTGTACCCAGTGCTTGCATAAATAAATAAATAATTTTTTAAAAAAACAAACAAAACAAAAAACTTAAAAAAAAATTCTAACACAGTTAACTATTATCAGTACTTCTAAAATATAGGCACTGGGGAAAAAGAGGTCAAATATTTTGTCTAAAGTCTCACAGAGATAAGAGGCACGACTAGAATTTGTACTCAAGTCTATTGAATTTTTGCTTATGTTCTATTCCACCACACCAGGCTGTCTCCCCAAATGCTGTAATGCTTCAAGAGGTATATATTTCTCAAAGCAGGATGGGGAATAAACTGCTACCACAGACACTGGCCTGAGGAGTTTCATCTTCCCCACAATTAAGCAAAAGAGAAAATGCCAAATGCCTGCCACCAGCAAAGTTTAGTTCTTGAAAAGTGTAAACACAAAAGATGGTCATGGAAAGGAGCCAGGATGGTATATTGGTGAAGAAGGGAAAGAAAGATGCATACAGGAAAAGATTACAATGTAATAAATATTTCTTTAGGTTTGGTCTGTGGCCAGCTAGAGGAAAAAAAATATGTACTAATGCTTGCCAGAGGAAAGAGAGTACCTCTTTCCACAAAACCCAAATATAATGAATGGGGTCAAAATCTTGAAAAATTATGTGTAAGTCTCTCAAGTTTGCCTCGAAAGAACCATCTTTTGGATGTTCAGGTGCTACATCAAGTTTCTGTTATGTGTATTTTTGATGGTATAAGAAAGATACACTTTAATGTTCCTATCCTAGTAGTTCATCCTCAAATCCTAGGAGGATTTAAGACAATTCCTTCCCAAATTGTAGAGCAAAGGAAAATTTTCAGAGCCATTAATTTTATGGTCAGAAGCTCAAGGAAGGAGGAATAAATCACATGGAAGCTTTCCAAGGGCAGCAGGTAGTTAAAGCCTGGGTCAAAATTAATCTAGTAAATATGAATGTATATGATTACCAAATAGAATGCACCATGGGGCAGAGCTGAGAGCAAAGGAGAGGGAGGGAGTGAGGACATGTATGCTTTGGTTAGAACATTCTTGTAGGCTCAGAGCCAAGTTGGCATTCTGAAGGGAGTAAAAAGGATTTCCCCAGAACCCACCCTTCCCAATTAATTACTATCAAGAGGTCATCAGGCTGAAGGCTGAGGCTGGGTTTTAAAGGACCGGATACTTTCATAACTATGAGCCACAGTTGCAGCAAAGCAAGCTAAGATAACAATATGGGTGATAAAATTCCGGGATCCTGAGCGTGAGATGATTGTGTCCTGGAGTCAGAAAGGAATTCTCCACCCACCTCCCTCTCCTGAACTTGGTATCCATCCCAACCACAGCATTCAGCAGATAACTAGCTCTAGATTGGTTTTTGGCAGGAGGCCTCGGGCCTCCCTGGTACAAAAGCTCAAAATGAAGCTATTTGTGCTCAGGATCTACACCCTTCTTTCTGAATCCTGTGAAGAACTCACTTTCTAGGAAAGACCAAGGCATGAGGGGAAAGAAAGAAAATTAATGGGTCATGGTTTTCCCAAAAGTGGGAGTGGGAGTGGGAGTAGGTAGCAAAAAGAACATGCTGGATGTAAGCTCTTGGGTGGATTTTCAATGTCTAAAATTGTGGCTTCATTTGGAAATAGCTCAACCTATTTTTCCAACAGTTTCTCACAAGTTATTACCTACATATTCTTAAAAACTGGGCTATCTCTTATTTTCTAATCATGGGTTTGTAATTTTGTGGTGGTTGCTTATGTCTGTTTTAAATTTTACCTGAGTTAATACTCCTGTCCAATCTCAGTCACAATACTCTAAGTTCCTCCAAAAGCAATCTTAAATGTCCTGCCAAAAGGGAGCCTGTGGCAATAAACCCACCTCTTCTTGAGAACACACAGATGTACAAATCCTGACCTCCTTCAAAGTTAGCTGTGGCCATGTGACCAAGTTCTAGCTAATGGAACTTTAGTGCCAATGATATACGCCCCTTTTAGATCTGGCTATAACAACTTCTCATCTTCCATGTTGTTCTTCTATCTTCCAGCTTGAGGTGGACAAGTCCAGAAATCCTCGAAACTACATATTAAAGATGGAAGACCCACAAGATGGAAGGTGTGGATTACCACTTGAAGCAGAGTCCAGTATTGATCAGAAAAACCTGTTTTTAACTTTTGGTGATTGAGAGATAAACTTTAGCTTGTTTAAGTCATTTTATGTTTTGCATATAGTTTTGTAGCAGCAGTTCCATTATTGTAATGAATACATTCCTTTTGTCAGCACCATCATAAATGCAAAGTAACCGTTCCTGCCACTACATTCCCTCTTGCGTGGCATAGGTCTTTATGTTGAGGTCATCATTGTTTCTGTAGTTACCTCTTTGACACTTTCCTCCCACACACTGATACTGCCACTGCCACCAATGTGTTAGAAGTTCTTTGAAGGCAGGGACTGCACTGTATCTGCAAAGCTCTTTAACATCTGGAAAAACACAGCACCTTGTCAGACCTGCCTTCAAAAAATGCCATACAATTTCAGTTGGCTAATATCTACTATTTAAAGAGTGTTACTGGATAATAGAGGCCAAAGTATCTCTGTTTTATAGCCTTTTCTCCTTATAGCTTCCTAAACTTGTAAGAAGTCATTTCTGCATGTTTTAGTTACATTAATAATTTTGAACAAAAAGAATTTCTTCAGGTATTAATCATTGGTACTATCATGATGACACAAAGGCCTTTCTAATAAGTAAATATCTTTCAGCATTAAGACAGTGACTTAGAATCAAAGTTTTAAGAAGAAGAAAGACATATTTTATTTCTATTTTGCCGTCTGGTAGTTGTCCTACCCTCATGTGATCAAATAATAGGTACAAAAGGAACCTAACAGTGCCCTAAAAGCCTGCCACATGTAGGGGTGCTGGCATATCCTTTTCTCTGCCTCCTGCATCTAGCTCAGGTTATACTCATAGTAGGTATTCAACTATTAACCTAATAATATAGTACTCTATCTCTTTTTGTGATAATAGTCTACTGGAATATCAATGGTTACTAATGACTCAAAAGAGAATAGCCAAATTAACAATGACAGGTTGTATTATATTACATGAATGAGCTATATCCAGCTGCTCTTTGAATCCTACATCCAATATGATTTATTTGATCCCCAGTTTTGGATGCAATAGATGTAAAGGGGACAAGACAATTGTCCCTCCTCAACTGTTCACCTTTTTGAGAGCTGAGCAAAGCTCAGGGTTTTATTTTTCACACTCTTTAAAAAGTCCTCAACTAGTAATGGGAGATTTACCGGGATCATACCCAAGAGGAGAAATCAAATATTGTACAAAAATGAACAATGATGCAAGAAAATAATAAATAAATATAAATTCCACTAAAAAAATAGCCCTCAACTAAATAGACTTGTCTCACATATATCCAATGAAGGACTTACATCCAATTTACACTAAAACTTCTATAAACCAATTTAAAAAGGCAAATACCATTTTAAAAAAAATGGGAGAAATTTTTGAGCAGGTACTTTACAAAAGAAAATATTCTAGTGCCTTAGTAACATATAAAAATATACTGAACACCATTAGAGATTAGGAAATTGCAAACTGAAACCACAGTGAGATATCACTAC